TGTATTACTCTGGATACGTTAGGATATAATCATGTTGAATGTAGGGGAAAGAGGCCACATTCATGACAGATTAACATGTGAGTGAAGTTTTCAAGGACCCTAACATTAAACACTGAAGTTTTAATAAAATGTACTCTGAGCAAGGCACCTGTAAATAAGTCAGCATTTATGGCCCAAAGAAAAATAATCTGGTCTTGGACTTTTATTTTTACATGGAAAAGTTGTAAAGACTTAAGTAACTAAGTCTACCCACAAAGAAAAAACAAATTTGCCTAATCTCTTATGGACCGCCATATAAAACCATTGTTTGTTGGCCTAAAGAAAGTCTGACAATAAAAGATACTAGCTTAAAAATATCTTTTATTTATTTAGCAATATTTCATGGGTAATTTTTCATATTAATACAAATGGATCCAGTGCATTGTTTTTTTATTTAATTTTTTAAAAGATTTTATTCATTTATTTGACAGAGAGGGAGAGAGAGCGAGAGAGAGAGAGAGAAAGAGCACAGCAGGAGGAGTAGCAGAGGGAGAGGAGGAAGCAGGCTTCCCACTGAGCAGGGATCCTGACACAGATCTCAAACCCAGGACCCTGAGATCATGATCTGAGCTGGAGGCAGATGCTTAACTGACTGAGCCACCCAGGTGCCCCCAATGCATTGTTTTAAATAACTTTAAATAACTGTATCATATTTCATATTGTGGACATACCTTAATTTATTCAGTTAACTCCCCTATTGACATCATCTACAGTATTTTTCCTCTTTAAATAATGGTACAATTAACATTTTCATTTGTGTGTCATTTGTTGATGGTTTATAATGCAGTATTTTTAAAAGCTGAATTATATTTTATTTATAAACTAAACATACATATGAATTTGCCCTTAGATTTCTAGAGTCTTACAGGTTTTTTATTTATTTTGCTTTACTATAAATTCACATATACAAACACACATATAAACAAGTGTACACACACATACGCACACAGAAGAAAGATTGCATACGTAGGGGATGCCTGGGTGGCTCACTGATTGAGTGTCTCTGCCTTTGACTCAGGCCTGATCCCAGCGTCCTGGGATTGAGTCCCACATCAGGCTTCCTGCAGGAAGCCTGCTTCTCCCTCTGCCTTCTCCCTCTGCTTTGAGGCCTACACAGACTCCTTTCTCCCTGAAAACTTTCCTTCTGATCTTTTAAGCAGAAAATCCCCTCCCACAAAGCAGTTTCTCATAATTTGTGTAGCCGTTTTCTCAATCTACTTTGTGTGAAAGTTGGCACTGCACACATCTGTATCCTCTGGTAGATTATGAGCCTCTTGGTGGCAGATACCATTTTGGCTGAATGTAATACCCGTATGTGGGAAAAGCTCAAAGAAATATTGATTGGACCTGGGCAATTTGTCTAAAAAATAAAAAGTAGAGCTCGATATTTGCCTGTGAAGCCCTATTCTAAGTAATAACTAACTATAGTTATTAAGGCAGTTTTGAGAAAAGGTAGTAATATAAAACTATCACATATCATATGTATATTTTTGGGTTTAGGAAGCTTTTCCTTTACTGCTAGAACAAGAGTCAGCAAACTGTTTCTCGAAAGGGCCACATAGTAAATACTTTAAGCTCTGCCAGCCTTAAGATCTCCGCTATAGCTACTCAGCTTGACCACTCCTGTGTGAAAGCAACTGTGGACAGTAAGTAATGAATGCACGGCTGTATTCTACTAAAATTTCATTCACAGGAATAGGCAAGGGGCAGGATTTGACTCTTGGGCTGCTGTTTGCAACTCCTGTTCTAGAGGGTGTCTAGCTACATTTAGACTAACCTGACTTAACTCCAAATTCTGATTTTTCCATGTTGGCTCTTCTACTTACTGTGTGACTGAGATATTAGATTAATGTTACCTCCTTCATGTTAGGCATCTAGCTCAGGGCCCAGCATTTCCTGAGCCCAGAAAAACAGTAGCCACTAACTTGCCTTATTAAATGTAGCAGAAGCATAGAAAGGGGGGTCAGAGAGCATGCAGCCCCCTTTTCCAACAGGAAGTAGCAAAATCCTAAGGATAAGGTAGGTGGAAAACCAATGGGATAGCAGAGACTATGAAATGACAGGGGCAGGTCTCACCAACAGAAGCAGTAATCCCCTGAGTCATATGCTTTCCTGTGTGGTGAATTGAGGGTACACAGACACACATGTAGCCTGACACTTCCTGCTGCAACAGCAATAGCATTAATAAAAGATTTTGAAGATTGTTTGGAGTGGCTGGATCTATGATGAAAGGTATAGGCCAAGGTTCAGGCAGAGTTACTGGTGAAAAATAATACCCGGAGATTTCAGTGGTATTGCCTTTTTAGCTAAAATACAAACAAATAATTAATTTTGGGCACATTGCTGGCCTAATCATCACCAAGCATTTCTGTTGCCTGTATGCAGTAGATTCTTTCAAGATGCAACACTTCAATCGCTTTTTTTCCTCTGCCAGCAAGATGAAGTCCAGACACTTGAGAACAGTGAGTAGGGCTCTCCACAGCTTGGCTCTAGCTGATTCTTTTATCCTCACCTTCGATCCCTCCTTTTCTTGCACAGACCAGGTACTTCAGCCCAATAGGTTGATTAGCTTCTTCATGTCCACAAACACTGTCCCTCTCATTTTGCTGATGCCCAGTCTACGGCAGTTTCTGCTTTTATCTCACCCTGATTTTCTAGAGCTTTATAAGCCCATCAGTCCTGCACATCTCCCTTCTTTCTGAACCAGACCCGACTGCATTCTCCACAGAGTTCCTCACTAGCCCAGATCCAGACCATCTCTCCCTCATCTGCTCCTCAGCGGCCAGGAGCATCCCTTTCTTTTGCTGTGCCTATGACATCTCATTTTTGATGCCTTCTGGAAATGCTCAGCAAGCATAGACAGTGACGCGCAGAGTAGGGGGAAACCTGGATTTGGAATCTGCAGACTTGAGTTTGTGTTCTGGCTTCCTCACTGTGTGCCCAAGATGGGCGAGTGGTTTAGTATCTCTGAGTCTCAGTTTCTTTACTTATATCAAGGGCACTATACCTCTCTGCCTTATAGTGGTTTTGTGAAAATGAAAAGAGGGTAAACAAAGTGAAGAGTCTAGGAGTCCTTAGAAGGTACCCGTCTCACTCAGGAAATGTTAACGAGCCTGAACTGATTACAGTGTTTGACTTGGTGTATCTCCCTAGTGATGTAATGATTATGAAAGCAAACTGCACTGAGATGTATCTGTGGTTAGTGGCAGTGCCTGGAATTTTTTTAAAGCTACTCAGTAAATTTATTTGATTTATTTTTAAATTGCTTTTTAAAATCCCCATCGAAGTTATATAAAGCACACCAGCTTCTATTTTTCAAATTTTTAAGATAGAATCAAGATCTTCATCAGAATCTGTTGTAGAGGGATGCTTTAAGATGATTTAAAAATCAACTCAGTTTCATCAAATCTGTAAAGTTTGGGGAATATACCCAAACAAATATTTTCCAAAATACATCAGCGGACTAAATTGTTCTTTTTTTCATCTTCTACTTTGAGAAATGACTGCATCATGCTATTTAGTGCACATGTTGTGCCTCCAGCATTCCATGTTGACCAGCTCTCTCCACCAGATGCTCACTGCTTCAATTTAAACCCTCTATTGTTAATATTCTTTCCTACAAGGATGTAAATAAATCTTGATGATCTGTATATATCCAGAGTATAATGAAAATTAAGCATATCAAATTAATGAAATTATTCCTCACATTTTTATGCATGTCCATGCTGAATAAAAGCTTGTAGATTATTTTATAATATAATGTTTCTCTGATGGTTCAGAATGAACCCTGTAAGGCAAATCCAGTCTCCATTTTGCAGGTTGGGAAGCTGAAAATGAACTCTGGGGTAGCAGCCTAGAGCCTGGATGCAGTTTTCTCCACTGAGAGTGCTGGTATCCACACTAGATCATAGCTTCACTGCCCGGAGCTAGACTATGCCACAGTAGCCATGTAGGGCTTCCTTTTAAGGTCCAACATGGGATTTCAAAAGAAATTCTTTCTCCGTTTCTTGCATTTTTGGTTAAAAAATGTCTAATGTAAGGGGAAAAAAGCTAACTGATAAATAGAATTTGTTTTTATCATGATATATATGTTTATAGAATATACAGATACAATTACCTCCAATTATGTACAAGTCACTTAGGTTTCTGTGTAAGGCTTTGGTGATTGAATCGGTATCCTCATCTAAAACAGAAATTGAAACAGTACTCAGAAGCTTGTCAGAGAGGATAAAATGAGAGTGCTGCTGTACAAGTGCAATAGGAAAATGCATTTGCAAAACAAGCTATTATAATTTTCATTAAAATCATAAATACATATATGGATAAATTAATCAAGTATCTTAAGGTCTCTACTTAAAATTAATTACTAGGTAATTAGCAACACCGAAAAGTTTCATTTTAGAAACTTCCATATTCATTACAAACTTACATACTCCATGAGCCTCAAGTTTTAATCAAGTTGTATGATGGAAGAGTTACAAAATTAGTCCTTACCACATATGGGAGCATTTTAAAAGTTAATTAATTCTCTGACATTCAACTGTGTAACTAAATTACTTTATACAGTTGTTTAAGCACAATGTATATAATTTTCTGATTAAAATAAGAGCTAAAATCATCAGTAGCAATTACTATTTACCCACTTACTACCATACTACCCCTATCATGCCTGATAGCTCCTCCTCAGAATCTGAAGAGATTATTCTCCAGAGAATTTTAGAAACTTTTTGCTGTAACAGAATGAGGGAGAACTTTCAGTTGCAGGTTTCAAAGTTAGCGTTTCTGAAGAAAATATGTTTTTAAAATCTTCAACTGAAGAAAAATTGTAGTCTCTGCAGCAAAATACCTGCTAATTCACTATTGTTTACTCTGTGGTTTCTATTTAAATTTGTGCTGCTGTCATGATTTATTCCTACCTCACAGGATAATGAATCTAGATTTTATTTCTGTTCTTTGCCCAGGCTTGTACAGCAGGCAAAGTGTTTGAAAATCAAAGGAAAAGAAGATATTGACTTGGATAATCTCTTCAGAGGTAAAAACAAAGGAAAAACACAGACTATGCTTTTTGTTGTCAAGAATGTCCTATTTGTTTGCTGGGTTGACTTTATCATTCCTGTAGGTGAGTGTGGAATAGAGCTTGATGAGAGGAAAAGATTTGTGTTCTAATCTCAACCCTACAGACAGATAGGTTCCACTACTTCTCCATCCAACCTTGATTTTCTCATTTTTAAAGTGACAGGACTAGACTTTAATTTCTGTGGTCCTCACTCATGATAGGACAAACCAAAACCTATTGAGGTGGAGGTCTCTGTGGTGGAATCTCTGCCATCTGCTGAGCATGAAGGAGGGAAACTGGAAGTGTCTCATGGCCTTTTTATAGCCTGAGGGTGCGGGGGACTGGGAAATGTACCTCATTATTAAGATGGGCAAGAAGGTTGTTGGAGGAAAAGTTTTGTTTAAACTTAAAACTGAAAGCTGAATGATTATTGGAGTGTAGGAAAAAGAATTGCATGCTTTCATTTAATTCTGTTTCTTTCCAGTTAAGGTTCAATATAGACAGAATCTCATCTATAATTTTGAGGTTATATTGCAGCAAGCTAAGGAATAAGCTTCCCCTTAGTTGTGTTTACTAAGTGGAATAATTTTTATTTTATCAGATGAAAACATTGGTAACTTATATTAGTGTCCTGTGTCTTCTGCCATCATAGTTTTGCATGTTAGTATCTCCCACAACAGACAGCAGGAGCCCTGTTCCTCTTCCAGAGGAAAAGAAAATCCAGTGGGTTTTCTGCTGACTTGGCCAAAAAGTGCAACAAATTAGCACAACTTTGTAGCACTGCACTCATCTCTGATAGGATTATTACCCATTACACTTTTCTTAAGGAAAAAAGAATATGGTTGGCAGCCACCGAACAAAAAGAACCATGACATCTCTGAGCAAAGCTACCCTGTTCACTTCAGGCAGGGACCAAACTCAGCTTGTGATTAGAACAACTCTTGATTTCATCTCAGTCACGAAGGGAGGAGGAATCTTTTCCACAGAAAATGGAAGGCAGTTAAGTTCTTTGGTTTCATGGTGCATCCACACATTTCTCCCTAACCAGAAGAATTCTGTGTAACATCATCAGATCTGAACATTGCTTTAAATAAAATAAATTACTGATATTTTAGAAACTGCTCCATACAAATGTTCTAATCCATTTTACCAAGCCTCCTTACTGTAAACAACATGTGTTTTGGAACCATATAAGGAGCCCTTAAAAAGTGTCAGTGTTTTAATTCATATTTTGACACTTTTGAAACTATCTTCGCAGAGTAATTATGTATATGTTCCTGTTAAAACAGATACACAGTCAATTTTGTAATTCACATAGTAAAAGTAGTAATGAGGATCATCCTTATAAAAATAGAAGATATCACTAGCAAAATGCATTTGCATAATGTGAAAGATGAAATCTCTTCTAGCTTGTTCAGTGTATACTTACTCTTTTCTGCATTGCTTTTGAAAGGTCTGTTATGTCAACCTTAAAAATAAAACAGCCAGTTATTTTATCAGCAAAATGAGTTTATTTGGGAAGAGCAAAGAATTTCAGTTAGGGATAAGCAATCTAAGATAAAACCACCAGCAAATGGCAAATCCCAAAAACAAAGGAGAGGAATGTTACTTTATAGAGAAAAAAGAGGAAGTTGCTTTGAATGAAAGCTGTTGCAGGAGAGGAAGAGTTGAGGGTGTGATCATGACATTGAATGATTATTTAATATTTTCTTTTATTTTTTTGCCTGTAAATCAGAGCATAAATTCCAAATTCTTACTCTTGCTGTTGAGTATAGATTGAATAAATACCTTCTTAATTCATCAGGAGCATTTTTTTTAAAGGAAAATGGGCTAAAATTTGTTCTAGGCTTCTATGAGGGCAGATGTTACATTTTTGATATTTAAGGATTGTGTGTACATATGTACACATGCACATGGCAGCTTGTGTTTTTCATATCCTGGGCGTATTTTTAATTTTTACTTGTAAACATCTTTGTTTTCTAAATTTTACTCACAATAGATATTCTTGGCAGATATATAATAAAAAAACCACCTATAATTTTCAAGGATACTTCTTAGGGATACAACATTCTTCCTTTTACCATAATAATGTATAAAAGTAATATTGGATGGTAGAAATATTTAAGTACCTCTATAAATTTGTTGAGGGAAACATGATTAACTAAAAAGATGTCCGGTAGTAAAATTGACAGAAGTTAATTTGTCTTACTAATCTATAGGTTTACAGGTAAAGCATACTGAGTTTTGCACATGAGACACGGCAAATGGTAGTTCTCTTTTCTGCCTTTTGTTATGTAAAACAATGCATGAAGATATCATTGCCATATGTGCTGCACCACATCCCTTCTCTGGAATTGAGTTGAGCATCTGTGTGGTGGCCCTTCAGGTTTTTACTGTTGCTCAGTGAGTGTCCCACAGAGAACTGCACAAAATCTCCTTTGAATACAGGTTGAGTGAAGCTAATTAAAGTACATTTTCCATTAAGTGTCAGAGACCTGCTTATTTTAGTGATCTGCCCTTTTGCCCACTTAGAGAGCCCAGACCCAGAGCAGCTAAAACTCAACTATTTGGTACCATAGATGCATGTCACTATCAAGGCCACCGCATAGCTCTACCCCAGGAGACATCTTTGGTATTGTGGAATGTTCAGCTAGAAAGCTTTTATTTTAACTCTTTACTGTTTTTGTTTTCAAATGTGTAACTAAAGCTCACCTTTTTAAAAATGCAAAAATTTGGGTAGCCCCAGTCGTGCAGCAGTTTAGCGCCACCTGCAGCCCAGGGCGTGATCCTGGAGACCTGGAATCAAGTCCCACGTCAGGCTCCTGCATGGAGCCTGCTTCTCCCTCCTCCTGTGTCTCTGCCTCTCTCTCTCTCTGTCTATCATCAATAAATAAATAAATCTTAAAAAAATCTTTAAAAAAATGCAAAAATTTCATAAAGCAAAAAATACAAGAGATAAGCATGACAAAGGTAAACATTGTTAATAATCCCTTACAAACTAATTTTCGATATAATAATTCATCTTTTGATTTTGTTACCATTATAAAATCATATTTGATGAACTACCATTGACTTTTTTTCTCTAGTTGCTGATAGATCATGGCTCTCTTTCTAATAAGTCAGTGCATATTCACTGACTAGTTTCTTTTTCTTATTTTTTAAGTAATAATTTTAGACAAGGTCAAGAGATTACACAAATTTAACCACTGGGTGGGTCAAGAAATAGAATCTGAGTGGAAGCCCCCCTCATGCTGTTCAATTATCACCTCCTGGCAGGACAGTCCCTCTTCTGATTTCTGTCACTATTAGCTGCTTTGGCCCTGTTTTGATCATTTTATAACTGAAATCACACAATATATATTATTTTATGTTTGACTCTTTGCTAACATTGCATTCGTGAATTTCACTCGGATCTTGGTTTGCTTGTTTGCTTATTCTCAGAATTGCATATTATTCAATTTTATGAAGGTGCCACAATTTGTCCATTTTAATATTGGTTGCTTTCAGTTTTGCCCTCTCAGCAGTAGTGCTACTAGGGACATTCTTGTATGTAATTTCGTGGATATGTGTATGCTTTTCTGTAGGGTACATACTGAAGAGGGAAATTTCTGGGTAATTGAATGGGTTTACATTTAGGAGCTGGTATCAAATATTTTTACAAAGTCTTTGCACCAGTACATTCTTGCCAGCACAGCTTGGAAACTGCAGGTACTCCACATCCTTGCTAGCAGGTTAATGCTTGTCAGTCCCTAATTTTAGCCGTTTATTTGGGTCTGCAGTACTGTTTAATTATGCTTTTAATTTTGCATTTCCCGGAGGCCTAATGGGCTTGAACACATTTTCGTGTTTACTGGCTATTTGAATATCCTCTTTTGTGAAATATCTTTCCCATTTGTCTTTTAGATTGTCATTTTCTTATTGATATATAAGAGTTCTTGATGTCTGTAAACAAATCCATTGTTGGTTAGATATATTGCAGGTATCTTCTCCAGTCTATGATTTGCCATTTCACTCTCTTAATGGTGCCTTGTGATAAATAGAAAGTCCAAGATTTAATAGAGTACATTAATCCTTTCCATTTTGGTTAGCACTTCTAGTGTCCTATTTAAAAACTTTTGCCTATTATATGTTCATGAAGATATTCTGTTTTTTATTCTAGAACCTTTATTGTTTGATCTTTCAGATTTAAAATCTATATTTAGATCTACAATACACCTGCAGCTGATTTTTATAAATGGCATAACATAGGAGCCAAGATTAACTTTTTATATGAATATTTAGTTGACCCAGTACCATTTAGTAAAAAAAGACCTTTTCCCCTATTGCTTATCATAAATCAAGTGACTGTGTTTGTATGCATCTATTTCTGGATTGTGTTCTATTCCTTTGGCTTGTCTATTCTCATGCCAGTACCTTACTGATTTAATTATTATAATTTTTTAACTTTATATAATAAAGCCTGATAGCCAAAATGCCACTCTTCCCATTTTCTTTTCTTTTTCTCTGAGATTGCCTGGCTATTCTTGTTCCTTTGCATATCTAAAGAGCTTATCTATACACACACACACACACACACACACACACACACCAAACAGCATATCCTGATTTTGACTGGAATTGCAGTGAACCTATAGATCAATTTCAGGTGAATTGGCATTCTCTAATTCATGAGCATGGTACATCCTTCCATTTAATTAGGCATTCTTTAGTAGTTTTCAATAATGTTAGGCAGTTTCTCTCAGCTAGGACCTACAGTATAATGTTGAATAGGTAAATGATAGGAAGGTATCTTTCAGATCTTTCAGGAGGAAAGCTTTCAGAAGTTTACTATTAAGTATGAGGTTTGCTACAGTTTTTTGTAATGTTTTTAATAGATTGAGAAAACTGCCTCCTCTTTTAGTTTGTGTTTTTATTTTTATGAATAGGTGTTAAATCTTATCTAATGCTTTTTCAGCATCTATTTGGTTGATCACATG